TATTAATTTTACACTCAATTCATATTTTCCTGGATGAATTCTAATAGCACTGAGGATGCTCTGACTTTCCAAATAGAGACTACTGTCATTACTCTGTAAATTAATGCCATTCCTTTAATCCTATAGCAATAAAATAACTGATTAACATATAGTAAGCAAATTAACATTGTAAGGACAGTAGCATGTTCACTTTGACATTTAGCTATGGGCAATATTGGAAGCTGGAAAATGGTTTGATTTGTTGAAATGTCATTTTTAATTACTGTAAGCACTAGAGCAGGGCGATATGACCAAAAATATTTATCACGATATACATTTGAAAATTTGCGATAATGATATAACTGACTATATAATTGACACTAGACAAAATACTTTACAACTCCACAACTTTATTAGTGGAAAAAAAAATCAAAGTATTTTCACTTAAACAAGCAGCTGTTTTTTATGTGCATGAAAGTTATATAAAAATTTAACAGGGCAAATGCAAATTCCCTGCTGATATTATGTTGAAGCACAGTACGTATCACTCCGCGAGGCTCCTCGTAGGATAGCCGTAATGCTCCGACAATCCATCAAGCGGTGCGGGTTCGTAGCTTAGCAAAGTCGCACTAAAACATTTGACAGATTTTCGAGCGCCGTGTACGACATAAAATCGTTAAGAGGTCAGTAAACACAACCAGAATTCATACATAAGGCACACGGGATTATAAGGGGCACTGTCGATTTTCAGAAAAATCAAAGGATTGATTTTAAGTGTGCCGTATTTTCCAAAATACGGCAATCGCTAGCATGCGCTACCAAAAATAGTGCTTTGTTGTGTATCTGATGGACGAAAGCTAAACCAGTTCCACCACTGAAGTTGCAGCATTTTTACAAACCAATTCTGGTTCATCTGTTTCATTCAACGATCCGCTTTCGCCCTTCTCATTCTCCGTCGTCAGCACGCTTTTTCCGCCTTGTGCGTATGAAAACAAAGGCACTGCGCATGTGCGTTTTACCCATATTCTATCGCAATATTTCATTTTCTTATCTTTGCCCAACATTACACCGGTATTACCATGAACAGTATGATATGGCCCAGCCCTAGTAAGGACCATAAATGACATGTCAATTTCTATACAGGGGTTGATGGTGGGAGATGGGCAGATAATACAGCTGAACAAACCCTTTAATTCTTTCTTTGGATAAAATGATTACTGTTAAACTTTTGCAGGTCTCCACCTGGGTAGAAAGACAAAAGACAAAAGCACTCATTTTAATTTAAGTTGGCTTCTTCATTAGGTTCACCACCTTTAGAGTCTCACAGCTTCGGGTGCTATTATTTCCGTATAAAATTGGCACTTCAGATCACCAGAATACCCCTTCTTGTTTTATTCCTGTCTCTTATTTCTGCACCTGCCAGTATGTATAAAAAGAAAAGACATTTACAGTGTGGTATTTTCCTGTTGCCTTGATTGACCCGGAACCTTTTTGGTTCAAATAAACAATCTCCTTTTGTCTGTTGCTTAACTTTACACTTTTTTTTTTGCATGATTACAGCTACTTCAAGAAATTCCAGTACTGTGGCTATGCTCCTCATGTGCGTAGTTGTAAGCCCAACACTGATGGAATCTCATCCTTTGAGAATCTACTGGCCAATATTGTGCTGAGGGTCTTCGTCTGGGTTGTGTCTGCTACCACCTGCTTCGGCAATATCTTCGTCATCTGTATGCGGTCGTACATTCGCTCAGAGAACAAACTACATGCCATGTGCATCATCTCCCTCTGCTGTAAGTCACGTTACTACATTTAAGGTGGAAAACTCGTATAACTTTTAGGATATAACTTTTACTGGCTACAAAGATTTTATTGTTTGCTGTTGCAGTTTCTAGATTACAACTGACATATTCTTCCAACACTGTGTCCTTCTGATAGCCTTGAATGTCAAAGACAGCACAAAGCATGAAATTAGTTTCCACCGTGCCTATCACCATGTTTCAATAATAAAGGTTTAATATTAAATACACTGGCAATCCTCAAGAATACTACTAAATGCAAAAAGCTGGCAAATAAAAAGTCATTAAGATAAGACATGATTAACATGATATGTAAAAATAGTAAATATATATTCAAACTTAACTTTTGTCATAAAACTGCTTTTATATGTGATGCATACTAAGTGGCAAAAAGCAGTTTTGACTGAGATACAGCTGAACTACACTCGCCAGTCACTTTGATGGGTTCAGCTATTCAACTGCTTGTTAACACAAATCAACCAATCACATTGCAGCAGCTCAAGGCTCAAATAGACATTCGCTATAACCAAGGTATCGTGCATTTCTAAGTGCACAACAAATCACAAATCATTGTTGCTGATCATGCCGACCCGTTTATGATCACAGTTTAGCATTTTCTTTTATCTACTCACAGAAGGATAACAGTCCATGACACACTATGTCACAAAGCTCAAAACATCTCAAACTGGTTTCTTGAACATGACAGTAAGTTCACTTGTTCTCAAATGGCCTCTACAGTTACCCGATCTCAGTCTGTTAGAGCACCTTGGGATTGGAAAGGGGAAACCGCATCATGTATGTGCAGCCAACAAATCAGCAGCAAATCTGGTATGATGCTATCATGTTGGTACAGCCTAAACCCTGAAGAATGTTTCCAGCATCATGTTGAGTTTGTGCCACAACAAAGTAAAGCCGTTCTGGAGGCTAAAGAGGATCCGACTTGGTTTAAATTAGATTTAAATCTTTCTTTTCTTTTCAGCTTCAAGGCTCTTTATTTGTCACATGCATAGTTATACAAGTATAACACACAGTGAAATGTAGCCTGACACGCTCCTCGACATGTGCAAAAA